TAAACTGGTGTTGATGTCTTGAATGCACAATAACGTGTGGGTTTTCTTCATCCCAATTATGATTATTATGAAAATTGAATATGCCATCCCTGGAAAAACTAGCTTAATCAGTGAAAAGTAGATACAAAACTCTCTTCACGTTCACACATTTACAGAAACCAAGTACAAAAAACGAAAGATATCAAGTATTATTTTTAAACAGTGCAAATTCTTGCTTACGAGCTATTGCAATCTATGGAAAGAGAGGCCGGACAGAGAGTTTACTTTGTTTATAAAATTCATTATGTTTTATAAACTAAGACAGATAGGACATATATTTATATGACTTTTTTTCATTATTTTTAGGCGTACAGTCAGCTCTTGGGTCCCACAAGTTACGAAACACCCTGTATATATTCGTCACTAATACGCATCACACGTTACGAGCTCTTTAAATTTTATAGCCTTAAGTTTCTGACGCTGTTTTTCAGAGGATCTCTTTGGTTAGCAGTTTCCTCGCTTCCTTGTTCCTGGGCGATTTCGCGCCGATCGATTGGTCCGATGGCTCCGGAATGAACTTGTTAAATATTCATACGAAAGATTGGGACGACGTGTTACTGGAGGTATGTAAATTCTCACCGATGGCTGCTAGATTTTCTCCAAACAGATCTGAATTATGATGCAATAAAACCGTATTCGTATTCACGTAGAGATAGAAACATCCTCTTCGACTCTCCTCGATGATAATTCTCTCTCTAGTGTGACAATGTGCGAACCTATTCCGTTATCGTTTGTACATTTGACATCAATGGTCGAAATGGCTGAAAATCGTAAATGTTCAGGAATTTAAGTATCAAATAAAATTGAAATACTTTCGAATTCTTACGATGAATAATATTTTGTCAACGATCGTCTAATCTATTTACTTGAACGCAGACATCATTCTTAAACGCATACATTGCGCTCTTTCAATATTTACCATCTGACCGATCGTTTGTTCAGGCCTGCGGTCTTGGTTTGCGAGAAAAACTCGGGAAACCAGTTTCCTCGAGCAGCGACATCGGCCCGATTTCGTCCTATTTCGTCGAGAGATTCGGCTTCGACGAGGCATGCCGCATAATCGCATTCACAGGCGACAATTCAGGTTCCCTGATAGGTAAGCCACGCGCCATTCGCCGATCTCACGGCTTTTGGCACCGATAATCTTTCTCGTTTCGACCGCAACCCGGTGTTAATTTACGCTAGGCGTTACTTCGCCTTTTGACAACACCAGCAACGAACGTCCTCATGAATATTCACGCAGATACATTTCCAATTGGCTCGCATACTGCAGATACTACGCATAGACTTTCGCTCCCTCCGTACGGAATGATTAATGAGATTTTTCGCGCAAGCTATAATTTAGTGGCCTACTGTTCAATGAATTCCCTGTTGCTTAATACCAATCAGTTATATTCAGTTATATTCGTAAATTCAAAATGTCAGCCCGTTCCGTTTGAAAGTCTTTTAAACGATCGAAATTAACGGAGTTGCCGCGCGCAACGCTGCGTGTCGATGTTCGCGAAAGGAAAACCGAAGCATGAGAAGCTTGACGGCCGCATTCTAACGTGCTACAAAAATGCGCGATACCGTCTAAAATTGATCTCCCTCGTTAAGAACGAGATTTTTGAGAAATTACTTCTCTCATGCCAGAATGCCCGTAAATGCAAATTCCCTCGGACCGGTTCTCTCTCTCTCTCTTTTTTTTCTTTTCTTTTACTATGCTCGCGTATACTATAAAATACTTTAACAAATCGCAGCAAGTTTAACGGAGTGTGAAATACGCTGTAATTCAATTTGAACAAGAATAAGTTTAAACATACACATTGTAAATATTCCTCGAGTTGCGAAAAAAAAAGAAAAAAAGAAAAAATCGTGCTCAAGCCTAAGCGTTACAATACGTTTATAGATATTTCGTTTTATTGTCATACCAGGTATGAGACTGAAAGAAGGAGACATTGCTTGTAGCTTGGGAACGAGCGACAACTTGTTTATATGGTTGAACAAGCCGAAAACTGTTCTGGAGGGGCACGTCTTTTGCAATCCTCTCGATGACGATGCTTACATGGCGTTGCTTTGGTATAACCTTCCACCTCTGTTCCGTTACCTCGTTTCATCTGCAATCGTAAACGATCTTGCAACCGCGAATTTTCTAGCTTCAAGAATGGATCCCTGACTCGCGAGCGAATACGCGACAGCGCGGCGCAGGGCTCCTGGCAGATCTTCAACGAGTTGCTGGAGAGCACACCGCGGGGCAATTTCGGGAATTTAGGCTTGTACTTCGACGCGCAAGAGATACTGCCGTTCCTCATCGGCGATCATCGATTCAACAAAGCGAACGACGAGATATCGCGTTACAGCTCGAAGGAGGTAGAAGTGAGAGCCCTGATCGAAGGGCAGTTTGCCGCTAAGAGAGCTCACGCCGAGGATTTTGGTTTCGTCGTAGGTAAGAAGGAGAAATTATGTTTCTGAAACTTAACAGAACAGCGTTAAATTAAATAATTGCACGATTTCCCGTAATTCTGTATGTTAGATATAATATATTGCGCCGCGACAATGATTATTCTTATGTCTATAATTAAGTTTAATTTAAGAATTATTCATAGGTCCGAATACACGAATAATTGCGACCGGAGGTGCATCCGCAAACAAATCTATACTGCAAGTACTTTCCGACGTTTTCAATTCGCCAGTATACGCATTGGTAGTTATTTCCATCCTTCTACTTCGACAGTGAAATATTTCTTTCGATAATTTGTTATTTCGTTTGACAGGAACTAGCTAATTCGGCTATGATGGGTGCAGCCTATCAAGCGAAGTATGCTTCATCCCAAAACGAATCCAATTTTGACGAAATAACACGCTGCTTGCCGGAACCAGCGCTCGTGTGTCGTCCTTACCACGACGCAGAAACAGTAAGTAATGTAAAATAATTTATAGATTTGTGTCGCATCAAACGGTATGTTTAAGAAGCGTACATTTTTTTTTTTTTTTTTTTTTTATATATTTGCAGATATATAAATCACTGGTCGCACGCTACCGGAAAATCATAGAGACAGCAAAAAATAAAACAAGTACAAAGTAACACGTGCATAATATAACTAAGTACAGAGGCCTTGGATGATGCATAATATAATCTAATCTAAGAGTATAAAATAATTATTGCATTTAGAGCATTTTTATAGTACCGGTAATATTTATAGAGTTTTATTCTCGAAAATTTTTATACCTTTTATGCAATTTTTAGAGATCTGCTTTTAAAATATTCGAGCAATGAAATATCATTTCAATTTCAATAAATGAATCGGAGATATTAGAAACATTCAAATGAAATGGGAACTTAAGAAGTTGAGGTAGAAATAAAAATATTGTTTTAAATACTTTGCAAGCGCTATCTCGATGATTTTTTTTTTAAATCGCTAATGCCTTACTGATAAAAGTACAAGATAACCTAAGTGCAATTCTTAAAATGGGAATTAAGCTTATAAGTAAAATAATTTTATATTTGTATATTTATAAATTTTATTACACTATATATCGTTAATTTATTAAATGTTAACTTATTACAATTATAAAACGAAAATTAAAAGTAATAAAAGGAAATTTAACTTATTATAGATGTTTTATTTCTTTAAAGAAACTGCAACACTATGTTTGTTAATATATAGACATTTCTCTCTAATTTTTTGATAATTAATTCATCATTACATAATAACATGAAAGTTTCAAAATATCAATTACATACTTTCCTGTTTTACTTTTTCCTGCCACCTCTCTCCTTTGGTAGAAGATTAATTATATTACCAGATGTTAAATTATAATACGCAAGAGTATTGCTATCTTTAAAGAACATTCCCTGAGAAAACAAAATGAATAACCATTATACAAGAAAATCGAAATATTAAAAATTATCGAGTTTAATTATTTTATATACTACCTCGTATTGTAACTTCTGTTTGCCAGGAGGCATGCCAGTTTGTTCATGAATAAGAGCTTTCATCGTCGCCACAGTATCACTTACTTGCAAAGTAATATTCAACGTTTGTCCATTTAATTTCCATTCTGCTTTCTCTGTCATCATTGGTACAGCAATATTCAGCTGTACCGGACCCTGAAATAACAAAGTGTGTACTTCAGTTCATATCCGTAATAATTTCTTAATAAATATAAATCTTAATAATACCTTATTCCTAGCTAAGAATTGTTGTTCTGGTATCAATGAATCTTCTGTTCGGAGTTTCTTAGTTTGAGGTTCTTCCTCCATTGGTTCAGCAGTATGTTTCAATCCGATCTGCAAAAAAAGAATTAATAAAACAAACACTTTCACTTGAAGATATATTTGACTTGGCGAATACTTACAGCAGAAGTCATTGGTGGCTGCATGGGTGGTGGTGTCGGCATAAACGGTGACATTGCTGGTGCTAGAAATTAGTAATGTTAACCATATTCGGAATTCGGAACGTATAAATAAATTTTTATTTCATATAAAAAATACTCACTCATTAACGGTGGTGGTCGAATCGGAGGCATGGGAGCCATCATCATCATTGGTGCTTGTGGCATCATTGGTTGAGGAATACCCATAGTGGGCATGCTCATGGTAGGAGGTGGTGGTGGTTGCGTTGGCACAGGTACTGGTTTCGGAGCTGGTGGTTTAGGTGGTGCCTTTAGTGTAGCTTGAGGCTTCGAAGCAGCCGCTGCCATGTGCGATAGTTCAGCCGCGCGATTAGCAGGTTTTGGACCAATCTTCTCTTTCTCTTCATCGGGAAGAAGTCCTTTAACTTTATGTATCTGGTGAATTTGTTCTTCCAGAGTGATATTCGCTCTAGCAGCCCTAGTTGCTGCTTCGACGCTTGACGTGTGACCATCCCACGTGACCTTGTCGTCCTTCTTTTTATCTTCTTCTCCAATTTTCTTACCGATGGCAGTTTCTTCGTCACCGACACCGAAAATATCGGTACGTCTTTCGGCAAGCTGTTTCAAGCTTGCTTCAATCGCCGTGCCAGGTGCAAATACTGTCTCTTGAGCCAACTTATCGAGATGTTTGTCTCTTTGTTCCACCCAACGTGGATCCAATAATCCAATTCGCATGTGTTCTTGAACTTTGCTTGCGGGTATACGTTCTCCAGTGATCGGAGATATCAAATACTCATCAGGAGCAGCAGGACGTGCAGTTTTGCTAGCTGCAAAAGAAAATTTATTACAATTTTGTCTAATTCATGTATGTTACATTTTTCTTCTCTTTCCTTACCGTGTTGTTTAGGATCGTATCCCTTCTTTACTACAACGTTTCCAGGAGTGGGTGGCAAAGGTGGAGGTTGCATGTTATTACTATCACGTGGTTTCGATTCTTTCGATTTATGAGTATCGCCCGGAGGTGATACATCATCTTCATCACTCGAATCCTCTTCCATGTCTTGCACCTTAACATAAAAATATGTTGTTAATATGAAAATGTATTCTGCTTCTTTTTATTTAAATACACGTGTAAAATATTTACTTGATTGTTATCTTTTGCACGATCTTTTTCGCCTTCTGCACGACTTTGCATCTCATCCTCTCCTTCACTATCGATCTGCATTTCTACATCCTCGCCTTCTTCTATTCTTTCCTAAAAATTTAAAAAGTTATTAAAAAAGAGCGGCTTGTAAGTTTATCAAGGTACTTTTACTGTAACATGGACTTTATAGAATTTTGTTACCTGCATGAGTACACGAGCACCGACTTCATCCGGCGTTGTCGGCGCCGGGAAATTACCAACTTCAAACTGTTGGTAATCAACAGTTTCAACTACAACGAAGTCATGCCAGTCAATTTGTGCATAAGCAACCCTTTCACGTTCCAATTCCTCTTCCTCTTTGCGTCTCTGAGCTTCTTGATACTTTAGCCATTCAGCACGATATTTAACTTGCTCTAAAATTTTATCCATATTAGCGGCTTCATCGCGTAGCCGTGGCAATAAATCTTTAGGTGGAATCAATACCTGCAAATTTATATTAATGTAAACAAAAAATTTGGAAACAACGTTTAATTAAACAAAAATTTTTGTACTACCTTAGTATATTGTTCCAAGAGTTTTGTAAAATATTGAAACAAAGAATGTTGTGGGCGTAAAAAATCAAACTGAAAGTTTCTTTGCTCTCTGTTCATTAAGTTGGTCAGAAATTGGCGACCATTACGAGCCACAAATTGTGCTGTTAATTTTACAATATCCCTAAAATTAAAAAAATTACATATATCTTACCATATATATTATCTTGCAATTATATAAAACATGAATTTAATAAAGACACATACAAGTCTAAAGCTGAAATGGAAGGTGGATCAGCAATAAATTCAAATTCTGCAGGTGTATCTCTTGGAATAAATGGTTGTTCAACTTGTTTCAAAATTTCTTGTTGCTTTTGATGAGCAGCAAGATTAACTGTTTTCCCAGGTCCTGATCCTATAGTAGGTTCTTGACCTTTACCTTCCTTAAATTCTTTCACTTTATGCTGATAATATGCATGGTATGGATCACCAAAATTCAAGAAATTAAACTTTGGATTTCCCAATTCATTCTGTCTGATTCTCGATTCAAATTCTGGTCCATTTCTAGCCACAAAACTTGCAGTTTTGTCGACAATATCTATATTTTTATGTAAGGCAAATTACACAAATCCCAATGAAACAAACAATAATTTTTACAAAATGTAAAAGATATATAAAAATTTTCAATTTCATTGAGTAATAAATTAATGTAACATAGATAAAATAAACTCTTTTATTTTTTTCTTAGGATAAAAATATACAGCAACATAGTAAATAGAACAGAAATTACATAAAAGCAAATAATGTGGTACTTTATTCATGGCATGTAACACACAAATCAATATATTACAACCAATATTTTCTGAAGCTATAATATTTTTATTATATAACTTTAATTTATAATAATTATATACACAAACACATTGACAGTTCCGAAAAATTGTTAAGAAATGAATTAAGAATAAATATTGCATTTTATTGCTTCATTAAAGAAATATTGTCAAAGGATACTTCTAACCTCCGGTGGAGGATAAATGATGCCCACAATCGGCTGAGATGAAGGTGCAGAGTTTTCTTCATTCTCAGTCGCCGGTGGCTGTATAACAGCAACTTCTTGCGCAGGCATATCGCCTAATATATTTTTATTCACTTAATTTTAACAAACTCGACGATATTTTCCGCCATTTATCGCATACAGATTTCTAAGACGCGACACAATACTACCAACATAAATAGACTATGTTTTTGATTTGAATAAGTATGTTATTAAAGGTACGTTTTCATGAATGTAGAATTCTAATGGAATCAATAGTACAACAAAATTTTGAAATATCCCTAAATTTTTGAATAAAATATAAATTTTATGAGAGTGGTTTCTTTAATTCTGTAAAACAAATTATTTAGAATTACTTACATAAATTGATACTTATTAAAATATCGTATATCTAAATAAATAACACATTGTACAAGAAAAACAATTTTCATATTTATAAATATCAATTGTATAATGTTTATCTAAAGTACATGATACTAATAGCATTATGTAAAAATTAACATTATTTCTATATATTGAGTGTTTTTATGTATTTTTCTGCAGTTTCATATAGATTAGTAGTGTGTGCTGGTAAGTCGGAGATGAATTTCATGCTGGTTATAACACCATTGTTCCAGGATGTTTTCACAAAACTTGTGACGCATGACACACTTGGTAACTGAGCCCACTAAAAAGAATTGATTTTAATTTACTTGAACTAATGATTTGCAAATATTGTATATCAATTGTCTTATAGATGACATTAATGCTTTGCATACATCCTTAATATCAAATAAGAACATAAATAATTAAATATGTATCAACCAGAAAATGTAAAGAAACAATATTGTATCTTTTAATTGCAAAGAATTAATAACAAAGTTAAGTTGATCTTTTTTGCATTAAATAATAAATATGAGATTACTTCCTTAATAACTTCTTCGGGTACGTTTTCTTTAACGTATGGGGCAAGATTTGCATATAGTTTCTCATACAATTTAGCAGTTTCTTCCGATTTTGACCACAATCCTTCCGTATAAGTGTAATAAATGGAACCACCAACAATACTGGACTTTATAGCAAACCTACGAGTATAACCTCAAACTTAGAATTCAAGTTTCTCGTACACAAGTATTTACATTCAAATACCATAACAGAAACAAATCCTTAGTTCTTGCAGCACGTACTAACCGGACTAGCTCCATTCTATAATATTATTTTGACAGGATAACTTTGTTGCACTTTCGTTTGTTATGGAAGCATAAAACTTACGTAAAACCCTCCAATAGATTTCGGCTAAACTCAAAGCACTTATGGAATATTTACATATTACGTATTCAGTCATGTCTTCTTTTGTACATTGTATATACGTTAAGCAATTATACAAATCCTTCAAATATTTCTTGATTGTATGAAATATTTCACGTATAAAAATTATTGTCAGTAAAATTATAGAAAATTATAGTTTCGTTTAAATTTGCGCGATGCACACAAAACCTCAAAACACGAAATTTTGATGATAAAATTGTTTCTGCTCGGTTTTTATATTTTTATTAATCATATTTATATTTTGAACAGATAACATGCAGCAATATATTTAGATATTGAGTAACTGATGTTTACTGTAGTTACAGTTATAATTATTTAAGTTAACCTGAAAATTGTTTTGTGTTGCATAATGTGGCCTCAAGAATACATAGAGCTAAAGGTGCAATTGTTGTTGTGTTTACGAAATTAATTTATTTAGAATATCAATGAAAAGTAATATTTGATAATTTCTTTCACAGCACATAGAAAATTTGTTAGTTTGTGGAATATGCTATGAATTCATGGATACCTCTGTTATGACATCATGCTCTCATAATTGTAAGATGAAATCTGTTTATTTTTGATGCATTATAACTGGATGTATCATTTCATTGTTAATTTTTCAAATTTCAGATTGTTCATTATGTATTAGGAAATATTTACATTATAAGACACAATGTCCTGCATGCTTTGCAGAAACGTTTGAGAAGGATTTAAAAAAGAATAAAGTTCTAGATGAAATTATAACACACTTTTCGCAAATCAAAGACAAATTGAAAAGATTTTTACAAATTCAGATGCAGTTTGCAAAGTTCAATGAAATTGATAATGCTTCTAGTGATTCAAAATCATTGCATCAAAGTAAAGATGTAGATGCAAACGAACAAGAAAGTAAAGTTATTTACAAAAATATTATTAGCAATATTTCTATTTCTCAAAATATTACATCACCATCTACACATGTTCAAAAAGATTTATCTAGCCCTAGTACAAGTGGAGTACTTACAATACCTTTAATGTTTACACCCAAAAGCAGTAAACGTCCAATTGCAAATAAAACAGAAGAGACTAAAATTGTTATATGCCCAGTATGCAAAGTTAGTATTTCAGAATTAAAAATAAATAGACATCTTGATGATTGTCTGAAAAGGGAATCTACAAATGAGAAACCTCAAATGTAAGAATACTAAAAATTATATTGTATATTTATATTTATTTTTTAAACCTTGTTATTTCAAACAATATTTAAGATTCATAGAATGATGTATATTATATTATCCATATATCTGATTAATGTAAATGTTTTTTATCTTTGTAGAACAGAATCAAAACGTAAACCATTGTCAAAGTTAGTATTTAGTTTAATGAAAGATGTCGTATTAAAGAAGAAAGCAAAAGAATTTGGCTTGTCGTCGCAAGGAGATCGAAAAATTTTAGAGGCTCGATTACAAAGATACATTGTACTTTATAATGCAGAGTGTGATAAACCAAATCCAAGACCTGTTTCAGAATTAATAAAGCAGTGTGAGGACGAAGAGAATACAGAAAGAAAAGCAAATAAAATTTCTTTTCTAAATGTAATATTTTATTGTATTTCTTTATTATTTTTGTACAATAGTTTTGTACAATAGTTTTTTGTATCTTAATTAAACTTATTGGATTTTTAATGATTTCAGAAATTACAAGTTACTAGAAATACAGAAGAAAATGTTATAGAAAATGAACGAAAGAAATATCGTAAGTTTTTTTAAATTCGTAAGATTTCTTTAATAATGTCCAATATTTGATAATTATTTTATTTTTGTTAGTGGAAACACATAAAAATAGCTTTGAAAGTTTAATCAAACAAATTAAAAGTATAGACTCTTCAAAAAAACCACATGCACGGCATAGTTTATTTACGGAAAGTACGGAGAGTAATGAAGATATTCCACATAAGCGTCAAACGATGACTGAAAATTTGAATGATTCAATGATCTATACCAAAGAAACAGATATTCAGTTGTCAAATTCTGACATATATATTCCGGATTCTGATTCAGATACTTCTTGCCCATTGCAAATGTATTCTAGTAGTGATCCGAAAAAATTTCTCAATGTAGAATTATCTTCTGCTAATAATAATGTTTTACGGAATAAATCAGAGAATGATCAAACAAATATTGCTGAGGAAGCATCTGTGTTTTCTAATTATTCGTCCATAAAAACGAATGAGGTAGAAAAAAGTGATAGTTCAGATGCACGTAGCGATACATCTATTTATGATAAAGCAACACAATCAGTTTTGGAGAACTCAATTTATGAGGATACATTAAAAAATAATTCTAAAAATTCATCTGATAGTTCCAAATATAAGAAACTGTTACAAAGAAAAAAGAAATCATCTTTAAAAGATAAAATAAAACGCATGGACGTTGTTACTACAAGCATGAAAGATCTTGATTCTGATGGTATTTTAAATCAAGAGGAAGAAGATGAGAGATCAAACTCTCCCTTGCAGGACATTGTATATGATTTATTAGGCAATAGTGACAGTAAATTTGATCATGGTATGTAATATATTTTTATTAAAAATTTATCAAACTCGAGGTTTTATGATATTGCATAAAAATTAACACGTTTACAGTCCGCTAGTTTAAATTTTTAGTTGAATTACAAGTGTTGAACAGTGATTGAATTGAATATAATATAAATCTTAAAATGTTCACAATCGTGTTTATTACGATTTTATAAAGAAAGGTATTTAGATTGTGAACGTGTTAAAAAATTTTGACAGCATAGAAATATTTCATAGTATAATACTAATCAAAAGTTTGTTATATTAAAAGATTATACCAAAAATTTAAGATTAATATGATTTTGAAATGTAACAAAAAACATTGAGAATAGATTAAAATATTCTTAAAACAATCTTGCAGGAAAATTACGTTCCACTAGCTATGAATTTTTAAATACTAGTGAAATTAATTTTTCAAATTTGGAAAAAGAAAACATAAGTTCTCCCGAGTGCAGTAGCAATCGTTCTTTGCGAAAGAGAACTCGTGATTCGACACAAACTGACAATAGACTCGTGTCAAATAGAATGAAAAAAATTAAAAAATCGTCTCAGTACTCTACGATTGAAAATAAAGAGTTAAATGACGAAGAATCTTTATGTATTTTGAATGACGAAAAAATTGAATGTTTAACAAATAAACCGCAATTGAGAAAACGACTGTCAAATGTTACAAAAAATACTGACGTTTTAAGAAAATCTGCTAGAACAAAGCTTAAAAATAATAATTCATAAAAATAAAATTAATTTTTTTAATAAATTGTTTATAGATTGCTCTCATTATCATATATTTTGCAAATTTATATATTCGTATTATCTTCGACTAAGTTAAAAGATATACATATATGTAAATAGTTTTATTATTTGTGTGAAAAGTGATTTGAAAATCCGAATATATATATATAATATAATTATTTTTTTTTGCATTAATCTATTTTATACTTGACTTTATTACACATTAAATATTTAATTACAAGTATATGTTATTTACACGATCTAATATTAAATAGAAAAGAAAGTAATCATGTATATTTTACTATATTTTCCTTTTCTTCTAAATGAAATAATTTAGCACAAATAAATATATTAAAAAAACTATGAAACTGTTTATCAAAGACACCAAATTTTATTGAATATATTACAGTGTTTTGATCAGAAAGGGATCAACAATGGTAAAATGATGACAAACACATGAAATTTTACATCTCATCTTTGTATAGATATTAACAATAATATAAGAAGCCTAACTTACTTAACACTAAAATATGTAGCTGTCTTTGACATTTACGCATAAAATATGTATCTTTGTTATGTATTTTATTTTTCATACACTTTGGTATCAATTATACATATAATTTTATATACATTTTGTGTATATATTTTCTAATATAATTTTTCTTTATATATATAATAGAACTTTCTAATATTCTAATGGAACAACTATCACATTCATGAAACATTTTATTCTTAGTTCTTTCTTAAAGTTACTATTGTAATTTTGTGATAATGATTTATTATATTGAATTTTATGTGTATATTGTTTTTTCTTTTTTTCTAAATAAATATAAGCGCAACATATATTTTGATAGGAATGAAGTCGTTTTTATAAGTTTTAAGTTGCGCGAATAATTACATATTCTTTGACAATAAACATTAAATTTATATTTGGCAGTGTTTCTGAAACTGTTTTTTGCGAAACCAAAACTTTAAAATTCTTGGATTTTATATCTTTGTATGTAAATTTTCATTTTCGTGTATATTATATTTAGTATAATATATTCTGTTTAAATATAATTAATTATTTTATGTTTTATTACATGTACTTTTGTTAACAAATTATTTATACATTTTCAATTCAGCGAATAAACATATTATATATACATATATCATTATTTCTATATGCTCTTCCTATATTAATTTATTCTGTTTTATATCCTTAAGTGTTTACATTTCAAAAATAAATTTATTTTTAAAAATATGTTCATTGTTTTATTATCTTTTGACGAAACGATAGGTTTAGATTGTTAAAGCTTTTCGTGAAATTTTATTCTACACTATTGATTAATTTATTGATTCCTGTAATTACTTTTGGTTTTGCATTTTTAATGGTTACGCATAAAAAGTTCAAGAACCACTGCTGTATGGTATGGCATCAGGCGAGGTAGTTACTCAACGTTTACTACACTCCTAAATATATTATAAGCATGTTTAGTTTCCCTGTGTATAGAAATCCGTGGTATTCTTTAAAAAAAATGACAAAATATATACATATACGAAAATATTTTTAAATAAATTACAAGATATTTGTAATTTAATTTCTTTCTAATTAGTAACGCAATGAAAGTTGATCGAACAAATGATTTTTTTTCTTTCATATTTCTAACTCTTGGTAAAACTTTCTGCAGACATGTGAAATCAATGATAATATAAAAGTTCAACGTAAGAAAATAAATCGAAATCAAATATAATACAAATGTTTGTAAGTGTATTTTTAAGAGCGTCGCTATGTCATTTTGAAATACCAACAGCTTAAATAAATAAAAAAAATAGAACCATCCTGTTTAATGTAGGATGATGTTTTATAAACGTTTATAAATGAAAAGAATCTGCTGCAAAGTGTGAAGCATACATAGAAGCTCTTTCGATTACTTAAAAGTATCAAGTTTTAGAAAGTGCAGCTTACGATTTTTACAATGTTTATGGCGTTCCTTTTTTTGACGCGCCAAGCGAAAGCATTGCGTTATGCGTGAACAACACTCTAGAGCGTGACACGAAAATTCAAATAGCCTTAAGTAGCTTCTATTACACGGGATCCAAATACGATACGATTAACGATTGCATTTCATACAGCTCCTCTTTATCATTGTTTAATATAGACGAATAATATCGTTTCATTAAGAAACACTAGTTAACAACATTGTTGCAGTCTAAGATTTGCATAATAAATGTCACACTTTCTTTCAAATGACATACCGATTTTATTTACATCGTACGTGTATAATGTTATATGTACAAGAAGTTATTTATTGGGCACACGTTTATTCGAAAGAAAATGTGATATGTTAGCTGCGAGCGTATTTTGTGTTTTGCAAGCATCTCTCGTGTCGCGCTTAGCAAGCACGTGCAGTATAATCTTGTAACGATATGTCAGAAATGTTTGAGTTGCATCTTGTCTTCAAACTTTGGGAACGTAGTGACAAGAGAAAACTATATAACAATTATTTATACATAGGGATACAGTAGATGAAGAGTTTGTTTTTTCTTCATATGATATATCATTTCGCTTCATATAGGTATCTGTATTTCTTGTGACGTTTTGATTAATTCTTTGATTACCGAATTCGATTTGTTCCTTCACTTTGTTACTGCGTTTCCATTCAAATTTCAAAAAATTCCCAATTTTGCGTATAATAACTACGTAAGGAATATCCTGCTACTAATTATATTCATTTATAGAATATTCATTTATAGAATTTCCTTTTATTAATACATTTATTGTTTCCTTGAAAAGATTATCACGATGAATCACATTGTAACACTTTCTTGGAGAGGAATTTCTTCAAGAAATATTTCATTTAATTACACAACGGACAATCGTCGGATTGTCAAGAAGCAATTACACTCTGTCAACGAATTTGTCAACTTTTAATGGATGTAGGATTCGAAACCGTGCACTTTGATCGCCTCATTGAAAAATCTTTACATGCTAAAAACTCCGAATAACAGGACTTTCAAATTTTGATTTTTTAACAATTTATTTATTCAAAGGCTTTTCTAAGTCGTCGACGAACTTGTAAAAGCGTTATTTTATGTATCTTGGAGATTGGTACGTAGCAACGAGAATCTCTTATTACAATTAAATCTCAACAAACTTTTATTTTTCACAACGTTGGAATATTTTTCGTTTAAATATTTTAAACTTTAAATATTATCTCTCTCTCTCTCTCTCTCTCTCTCTCTCTGTGATATTTATACAAGACGTAGAAATATATAAAGTTTTTACTATAATACATAACTATATAGAATTTCTTGTGGTTTCAAATCCTCTGAAGGACAGATCGACTTTCGTCTTCAAGGTTTAGAGACGAGGCGAACGTTTACAAAAATATTATCCTGTTTTTACAGTTGCGTGTATGAGCAACTTGCTCGTTACGTTCAAACACGGTGTTTACAGTTTTTTAAAAGATTACAGTAAAAATAAGGAGTCCTCTATACGTCTTCGTACGCTTTTCGAATAAAATATCTATACATGGCAATCCATTCCTTCTTTCATTCCCGTCATTTCCTATCTCTCAAAAGCAGTCTTTTTACTTGAAACAAACTCTTAAGGACGTCCGTTTCGAATGATAAATCGCGCTGGACAGTTCATTATTTATCATCGATCTAGCGTTAGCAACGTGTCACATCGACAATCGCGCGCTAGTCGCCTAAGTTGCGTTCCGCTCGAGGAAAAGTAGTCGCGTCTAAGGCTTCGATTTTCGCAGATTATATGTATTTACAATTTTATTCACAGCAAAATTTATATATTGCACTCGATCGACACGATATATATATATATATATATATATATATATATATATATATATATATATCGCGGGAACTGTCTTTTAATTAGTCATTTGAAATTTATATTGGAACGAAAGTCCGAGGAATTGACCGATTGTTGACGTTTCGTTCGCAAATTGGATGTTACTTTTGAAATTGAAAAGAACGACGTTGCGACGAATATAGAGATTTTTTTTTTCTTCCCCGTTTGATTACTGTTACGTTACGTTCTCTCGTTTGCTTCGTCTCATTACCGTGATGCCAATGGAACCCCTTATTTTCCGCAAAAGATCGATTATATCGGCTGTTGTCATGTGCTCCACGCTCTCGTCGTTTACCTGAAACAGAACAGGAACTGAATAATGAATAACACGAAGAATAATTGTGTAAATACGCTTTATGTAATTACGCAACAATCAGCGGAACAGTTAGTTTTCAGTATTGCTCAATACGTGTAATTATATATATATGTGTGTTTTGAATTAAGAGATTGTCACTTTACGATTGCTCTCTCCACGGAAATTATGCAAGCTTCGATCATTTGAATTCAAGATACAAGATAGCGTGAACAATTATTTAGATTCCTTTCGATTCTTATTCCATTCAATTCACTCGTTAGTATATTTACGGTTCGAACGAAAGAAAAAGGCATCGAGATAGGAAAGGAAACGCTAATTAGCGGCAAGCATTACCATCATAAGCACATCTCCTTGTTTCAGTCTCCCGTCTTTAGCTGCAACGCTGTCAGGGTGCACCACTGATATAACTGTGCGAATTCCTTCCGGCTGCAAGCTGAATCCCAATCGGCTATTCCAACCACGTGTCAGCTCGACCATGAACACCTTCGAGAACAATAATCGCCGTTGCAATTAAAATCTCTAATTCGCTTGCAACGCGATTTCACGGGAATTGAGATACAAGCAAAAATTCGCAGCAAAGAAAATGTTTTCATATAATGTAATATCATTCTGGATTCTATACTAAATCATAAAATTTCGAGGCTACTAATTAAAAAATTCACGAATATCGACGGTGGCCTAAACAAACAGTTTATCACCTTTCCAAGTAAAACTTAAAGATTCTATAATATTACGAGTCCTCAAGGCTTTTATAAGCATTTCAACTTTATCAAATAAAACGAAAAATTTCTACTACCGAACGAATGTATTTTCGGTATTAATTTTTCCCTGAATTTCTCGCTTGTGTAACAACTTCTTCGTTCAATGGGTAATAATAATGTACAATTTACTAGCAAATAAGTGGATTTAGTATTAATTAAGCTTCACCGAACGAAAAAACTCTACCTTGGTTCCTTGTTCAAGATCTTTATTGGGGACAGCTGAGTCTGTGGTGTCTTTCCCGGGCTTCTCTTCGTTCTCGGTTTTATCTATTCCATCATCTGGAGCGAACATCACGCCTTTCCACTTCAACAAACCCTTGCTGCCGCCGGGATCCTCCGCTCCTAAGATTTTCCCTGTACTCCACATAAAATTAAATCACAACGTGTGACATAACGTTTGCGCTGCGGAGAAACGGGTTTCGATTTTAAAAACCAGTTCGCAACTGGTGCGCGAGTTACTGTTTAATTTGATCGCGTTCGAAATTACAAATCGCGTTCTTTCTACAAAAAGGAAAAAGAAAGCCACTGTACCTTGTACTAAAAAAGTAAGAAAAATCCTAACTTTTAACACATAAATTAAATATAAAAGTAAGAATAATCTTAACTTTTAACACATAAATTAAATATAATGTGATTGTTATGTTTAACAATACAACAGACTCAATGTGTGTTTCTTGCTCGGGCAAAGTAGATTGTGTGCCATTACCTCCACGTCGGAAATTTTTAACACAGTATCGAAAATATATCGATCGTTTGTGTACGAGGAACAAGAAAAAGAAAAAGAGAAAAAAAAAAGATAAGATAATAGCTGTGTAGCGAATGATTTGACAGATCTCTCGATATGGAATAAAGAAGGTATTGGGTGATTATTGAACGAGCTGGCTGCGAGCGAGCAACTGAAACTGTGAGCGTCGTGTTTGAAATCAAGGTGACTCGATGTAGTTGTAACAAGATATTGTACGTTCGTACGCTACTGAAAGATAAGATAATAAAATGTAACGCGTTTAGAATTGACATTTCTCTTGCCTCAGTCGTACGTGTGAACATTTGTGTTTGATCGAATTGCCGAGATTGTTCTATAGCCAAGTAAAATTGATCAATAACATAAATTTTCCATCTCTAAAACTTGGAACGAGTTCCTTCCAATTACTCGCAGCGAAAAAAGATCTTTTCCGTCGCGGTCCATCGAGGCATCTTCCAACACAATTGTCCGTTTATATTTCATTTCCATCTCTTTGTCTCCGCGAAAGCAAGAAATAAGGAACGGTAAACAAGACATATACTCTATAAAAGAATTTATCTTCCATCAATTCAGTTTGATCAGATCAATTTGAAGTTGAGGTACTTTTAAATAAAATCAATTCGATTTGAATCAGTATCAAGAACTGTAGTGCTGTAATGTCAAATCGACTGTTTTCCTAATTGAACAAGAACCTTCCTGTGATGAATTCCTCTTGAAGAAGGGAAAAATGAATTTGATGCTACTATCAAAAAATTACGGCTTGAATGAACAAAAATTCAAGTTTCAACGCAAAGATGAAAAGAAAACTAGAATGAAAACGTGTGTGTTGAGTTTTGCTTTCACTTACTTAGCAATCGATAGTTGTAATAATTTTTTTAACAGTTGTTAAGTAAATACGATAAACAAATGTAACTAGTCTCTAAAAAAAAACTTTACTTTTGCTCAGAGTCAAGCTGTGCTACTAAAGTCGGAATAACTGGAGGCGAAAATTTCTGTGTTTGCTTTTTTCGTTTTTTTTTTTTTCAAACAAAAAATGCATTGGTAGATTCGCTCGATCAAGAATTTCGTTAACAGACTGCGGACGTTTATGCAAATTTAAATTTCCGCGCGTTAAATGAAACTACATAGTTTATTACATTTTTGTACGTGCAACGTTACGTCTTTGAACTTCTCGCAAATGCACGAAAGTCCTCGATTTTTCACTATTAACCACTTGCGCTGGCAACTGATTGCGGACCGTAACGAGCGACCAAACTGTGCACGATAATTCGTCGCTTTCATTTTGAACTCGTTGGTACGACATCAATTGGATAGAAATTATTGAGAAATAATAAATTTATTATTTGTTTCGACTGGATTATATTTAAGTATATTTAAAACTGAGAAAATATTGCAACTTTGGGACAAAAAAATTCTCGACGCGCGTGATACGTCATTCCAGCGCAAGAGGTTAACCACTTGCGCTGGCAATTGATTGCGGACCATAACGAGCGACCAAACCGTGTGCAATAACTCGTCGCTTTCTTTTTTGAACCCGTCGGTATGATATCACTGGATAGAAATTATTGACGAGTAATCAATTTATTATTACTATTATCACTATTATCAAGAGAATATTGCAATTTGGGGGGGGGACAAAAAACTGTCGATGTGCGTGGCACGTCATTCCAGCGCAAGAGTTTCACTCATTGTTACAATTTACAGAAACATCCGAAATGAAATATTGAAATAATTTACAGAAAGAAAAAAAAAAAAAAAAAAAAACATTGCGTATACAATTCGATCGAACTCCACCACCAAGCCTCCAATAAATAATTTCGCATAAAACAAAACATGGTGAAACATCTCGGAACCTGGTATGTCCTGGTCGCTCGAGTGCGTGGCCTTGTTTTTCGCGGCGGTGTCGATGCCGGCCCCGCAGGCAGGATTGGCGCTCTGATACGCGGGATTCTTGTAGCTGAACGCCGCGGTGCTGGTGCTGCTGGTGGAGGAGAGCAACGGTGGCATGGAGGCTGGCTCCGATGGCAGATCGTTGTCTTGACCGTCGCTGGACAACGCGCTCGGCTCGATCCTCTCGTAGTCGGCCTCGGTCCCCGTGCTGCGTAGCTCGTCCTCCACGATGATCGCGTCCCTGCCGCCGGGGAACTCGAGGTCCGAGTCCAGGTTGCAGAACTGGAAACGTGGCTTCCCCTGGGGCGCGGACAGGTCGAGGAAACTCGGCCGCGGCGCGGGTGTTCTCGATGAATCGCTCGAGTCGCAGACGTCGTACAACGGCGGCGGATCGATTATGTCAGTCGCAGGTGTGTTTGGCTGGGAGTTCGTTATCTGGGTCCTGATCGAGCACTGGTCGGAATCGGACGTCTCCGCCTGGCTGGCCGTCGACGTCGTGTACACGCTCGGATGCTTCTCCAGAGTTTCTGCAACGATGGACATATCATCATCTCCCTTAGATCAAGTGCTTTCTTTTTTTCTTTTTTTTTTT